GGCAAGATTGCGGGCGTCAGACTCCAAGCAGCCATCGCGCGACCATGCAGGGCACACACTAAATGGCACAATGAGCTTGTCCTAGGGCGACGAGGTCTATACATATCAACTGCTCCTGGCAGGATGGGCCCAGGATGGGCCTGGCTAGGAGCAGTGGATATGTAAAGATCTCGTCGCCCTATGCCTGGCCTCTGCTGGCCGACACCGTAACCCCGATTAACCCCCCTGGCATGGTTTAGTGTTGTTACCGCACTTGCCTGGAACAAAGTCTCGGCCCGTGCGACGGGCCAGAATTGATGCGACCATGAGCTGCTGCCCTTAGCGTCTTATATTTTGCAAGGGCGGGGCGCGAAGGTGCAAGGCCCTGGGGGCCAGCGGGGCTGGCCGTAAAAGTGCGCCGTTTTATCGATGTTGTCTTGGAGAACATCGGTGAAGCGGCGCACTGTTACGAGTGGCTTGGAATGCGCAGGCAGGCTGCTGAAATGAGGGACGCCCAACACGGACCGAACACCCCTTTGGAACCAGCCGCGGCTCAGCCGCGCCTTGGTGCACGAGAACGGCTAGAGGAACAACAACGGAATGCCCAAATGGATACCGAGCCCCTTCCGCACTCAAAACGCGCCCCATTTCAGCGTCTTGCGCCTTGACTGCGAAGAAAAACGCTGACCAGCAATTCTAATCCACATGTTCTGGCCGCGGCGAGGCTCGGGCGGTCTGCAGCGAGCTTCCGAGCAGCGACAGGATTGCAGGCTTACCGATCGGTCGGAAGACTAAGCTGGAAACATGACACATGAAGTAGGAAGGCGCTGAAAGTAAGTAGATTGGGGGTCCGCCCGCCCCCTAAAGAGGACGGAACATGTGAAGCCACCCGATCATTGAAGTAGGAAGGCGCTTAAAGTATATTGGAACCTGGGACCCCAAAAACTATCCATTCAACGACCGATGGGTATAACGGTGGCCAGGGGCCATGCTGGAACGGAGGCGCAGAGGGGGGAGGAAACTGAGCGGGGAGGGAGGGGATAGATGGGGAGTGAACGACTTGGGCAGCGCATAAGGCGGAGGTGGGGTGGGTGACAAGGGAGGGCGCTGAACCCAATGCAGCAACAATCCACGGAGGCCACCTGCGCCACCTTGTCGGCCCTTGCGAATCAACGCTGATCGACACTAAACGGTAACCGACACCACGCCGACGCTAATCGAAACTAAACCGTCGTTCCCCCGCCGACTCCCAAACGCTAGCGTGCGCACATGCGCTCTAGTACAGTCGAAATCCATAGTAAGGACGGGCTGTAAGGACGCAAGGGCCTCGGACGCCGAAATCCGTACTGTTTGGGTGGCGGATTGCGAACACCTTGAGGGGCTGGCCAGCGAAAAGCGCGAAGGACGGGCCGCAGAAGCAAACGCGCAAGGGTACCCCGAGGAGTCCTCGGATTCACGGCTCACGGATGTCCTCGGCGAGGACATCCGTGAGCCGTGAATCCTTATTATGAGTTTTGATTGTAACGGCTCCCATGAATTGTTGCTGAAAAGGGCAGCGCGGTCAGCCTGCTCCTCGCTGGCGCCGCCGCTCACGGCCTGGCGACGCAGCCGCGGAGGCGGGCGGCGACGCGGTCGGACTGGTGGGCGATCTTGTTCATCATCCTGGGCGATGGGCGACGCAAAAAAGCTGCTCGCGAGAACGATGCGATACTTGATGGGCCGATTTTCCACCACCACCACCACAATAGGTAGGAGAGGGGGGGAGGAGGAGGAACGAGAGGATGAGAAGGGGGACCTCGTCACCTCCCCGTCCTCCCCGTCCTACTCATGGTAGTGGTGGTGGAAAAGTGGCCCACCAATAACGACCTTGCGCTGCGGCTCACGCTGGCTGCCCGCGCGGCGCGCCACGTCGAAAACGAAAGCGCTCGCGCGCGACCTTGCGCGGGCAACTTGCCCGAGCCTTTGTGTTGCGTCGCTCCGCTGACCTCGTCCTCTCGCGCAGCTTCTTCTTCAGGTCTTTGATCTCATCCTTCTGCTCGAGGATGCGCTGGTAGTATATGTCGGCGGCCTTCTGCGTTAGGCGCACAGCGGCAGACAAGTGCTTGACCGTTCTCTTGAGGTCTTTGACCTGCTCCTGCAAGGGTTTCTCGACGGGTTTTGCAGCAGCTGGCATGAGGTCTGATGGGCACATCTCCGCCGCCACTACCATAGGTAGGACGGGGGAGAACAGAGGATGGAGAGGTCGTCCTCCTCCTACTCCTCCCCCTACTCTTCCTCCTCCACCCCCCTCTCCTACATATGGTAGTGGCGGTTTGAGGTGCGCCCATCAAGGTTGAGTGGGCACAACAAGCCCTGAAGGGATAAACATGCCAGCCTCGAACGCCCCCCCCCCCCACACTGGAAATGCATGCCGGATCGGGACCTTCGGTCTGGGTCGGGGTGGTTTGATGGGCGGTGAATTTCGGGATGGGGCGGTGAATTTCGGAATGGGGTTGGTGAATTTCGGGATGGGGCGGTCGAGGCTGGCGGGGCGCGGCGCGCCCGAGTGCCGCCCGAGCCTCGCGATCTCGCGAGCCGAAAAGACCTGCGGGCGAGGGAGGGTGGAGGGTGGAGGGTAGAGGAGCGCAGCCATCGGCCGCGGGAACGGCGGCGGAAGTACCCAGTGCTATCGCAGATCGATCCAGCTCGAAAAATGCATCGAAGGATGCGGCCTAGGGCCCTGGTCGCAGCTTTACCCCCGCCCCCGCACCATCGCTCATCGTTCCCTCTCCCCCCTCCCCCATCATGCTCCCATCCCCTCGACCCGCGGCGCGGGCGGAGCGGCGGCCGCGCCTCGGGTCGCCACCGAGGTCGCCGCGGCCGCACCAGGGGCCAGGGGGGGATGCCACCCCCGCGCAGCTCCGCGCTCGAGCCAGCAGCGAGCGCGGGGGCGCGGTTCCCCCCTCTCCCCCTTCTCTCGTCTCCTCTCCTCTCCTCTCCTCCCCTCTCCTCTCCTCCCCTCTCTCCTGTCTCAGCCTCTCTCCTCGCTCCTCGCTTCTTTCCCCTCCCTGCCTCTCCTCTCTCTCCTCTCTCCTCTCCTCTTTCCTCTCTCCTTCTCTCTTTATCGCTCTCTCTCTCTCTCTCTCTCTTATATTATCTTCTCTTATCGTATCGTAGCTTCTCTTCTCTTCTCTTCTCTTCTCTTTTCCTCCCCCCTCTTCTCCCCCCTTTCCTCTCCTCCTCTCCCTTCCTCTCCTCTCCTCTCCTCCTCCTCCCTCCTCTCCTCCCCTGTCCCCGCTCCCCTCCCCCCTCCTCCCCTCCCCTGTCCTCTCCTGTCGTCTCCGCCCTGCTTAGCACTGCGAGCGTGGTGAGTTATGTATGATCATCCATAGAAAAAACTATGAATTACAAAAGCTGTATTTGAAATTTCTGATATTCTTTAAGGAGGCCGACGGACGCCCGACTTTTCGGTTGTGGACAATACATAACTCCGCGCAAGCGCGCGGAGGGTTGTGTACTGTCCACGATAGAAGAATAGCCATGTAATTCCGAAAACTAAATTTGAATTTTCTGGGGCCCTTTAAGGAGGCCGAAGGACGCGCCGACTTTTCTGTTGTGGACAATACATAACTCTACGCAAGCACGCGTGGTAAGTTATATATTGTCCGCAATAGAAATAACAACCATGTAATTCCAAAAACTGAATTTGAATTTTCTGGGGCTCTTTAAGGAGGCCGAAGGACGCGCCGACTTTTCTGTTGTAGACAATACAGAACTCCCCACGCGCCTCCCCTCCCTTGTCCTCTCCTCTCGTCTCCTCCCCTCCCTTCTTTACCCCCCCTCCTCCTCCTCCTCCTCCTCCACGTCCTCCTCCTCCTCCTCCTCCTCCTCCTCCTCCTCCTCCTCCTCCTCCTCTCCTTTCCTCTGCTATCCTGTCCTTTCCTCTCCTCTCTTCTCCTCTCCTCCGCTCTGGCCAGCGGGGCGGCGCGGGGCGAGCGCGGGGGCGCGGCCCCCCTTCCTCTCGGGCCTCCTCCCCTCTCCTTTCCTCGTTCCTCTCCCTCTCCTCTCCTTTTCGGTGCAAGGGGCCGAGGGGACGGGCGGGGTGATCGAAAAAGAAGCGGAAGGCGTGGCGAAGGCAGCGGGGGGATGGGCGGGGGCGGCGGAGTGGGCGGAGGGAGGTTTGAGAGGGCATTTCCAAAAAATAGTGAGGAACGTGATCTTTAACATCCAGCTGAGCCACAGACATACGTAGCAGCTGGCATCTCGGCTGGGCCTCGGGGGCAGGGACATCCCCGAATATGTTGTATGCGTCTGCCACGGTGCCTACGGTGCTTATGGAGGCCTTTGCGGCGGCGCACGCTGCACAACTGGTGGTCAACGGCGACGTGCGCAATCGGCCGATCCGGCCGCCACGTCTCTGAAAGATAGAGCAACCCGCCCTCCCTAGGAAATGCAATGCACCCCCTAGCGCGTGGTCCGTCTCCCCGCGCCCCCCCGTTTTCGATGATGACGCGGGGGCGCCGCTTGGTTCGATGTTTGTTGCCCGTCGGCGCGGCTCATTCAACATTGAGATTGGGGGGCCGGGGGGCGAGGGCAAAGGGCTTGAAAGCATGTGTTACCTTTCCATGCGCCGATCATTGGCCCAGGATGGGGCCTGACCAGCGTCGGTGCACATGCACAGTTGGCGGCCTCCCTGTGCGTGCGGTCGCCAGCCGGACTCTGGAGAGATGTGGTGTTTCGCGAGTGTTCCGCCCTCCCGTTGCCCCCTCTTCGCCCCATCCCCCTCACACAAAGACATGTTTGTTCGTCGTTGCACGGCAGACGCAACCCGCACGGGCGCTGGAGTTGTCGATGGTGCGCTCGACAGACTACTCGTGCTGTATCCAGGGGAGGGGGCGCGCGAGGAGGAGGAGCGGCCGCGGAGGACAGCAGGGAGGGCCAGGGCGCTCGCGCGGCCAAAATCGTTTCAGAAGCAGCGCTCCCACACAGAGACACGTGCAGCGGGCGCCCTCCCGACACCTGGCGCGCCGCCCCTGCAGGAGCGGGCAGGGCAGCACCACGCCTGCCGCGCCCGCCCACGGGCCCGGCCAGCTGGGCCAGCCGCCCCAGGGCGGCGGCCAGCAGGCCGCCGCGGACTACGCGCAGAGGAGCAGCGGGCCCCTCCGGGCTTCACGACGACGACGACGACGACGACGATCACGACGACCGCGACGATCACGACGACGTTGGGGGGGAGAGGGCAGGGCGAGGAGCAGAGGGAGGACGAGCACTCCCAGCCGAGAGCTCATAGGGGAGGGGGCCCTCGGCATCCGAGACCCTGCCCGGCCAGTCCGGGGCGGCGGGGGACCAGCGGGTGCGGGGCCGGAGATTGCCGCAGGGGCTCGTGGCGCGGGGGTCGGGTGCTGCGCCCGCGGCCCGCCTCGGGCAGCCCGAGAGCGGGCGGACCCGGGGAGCCCGCGTGCGCCGCTGCCCCCCGTGCAGAGAGCGAGCCCTTCCGCACGGGGCCCTCGTCGCAGCTCCCCAGGCAGGGGGGCGGCGAGAGCCGGGCCGTGCCCTCTGCTTGGCATCGCTCGGACGTGTGCAGTTTTCCTTCGGCGAGGACCATCGAGGAGCATCCTTGATCATTTGGCGGAAAAGCCACGCACGAAACCGAACAAAAACACAGGGAATGGACGTCCGAGCGATGGCCAGTCTGAGCATGTTGGCCTCCCTGGGCCGTGCTTCGGGCCCCAGGACAACCAAGGCGGGACCCAGGGCGAAGATCCTCGGCCACGCGCAGAGGGGGTATTGGGGAGGGGGGGAGGCTTCTCAGAAGGGGGCTGCGTCTTGGAAGGCGCGGGCATTGTCTCTAGATGTAAGGCCAGCGCCTTCTAAGATGCAGCTTGCTTCTAAGAAGCCTTCCCCCTCCCCCTACCCCTTGTGCGCGCCGCCAAGACTCGCCCCCCTGGGAAAGCCATCGGGGACTCCCAGAGCGTCCTGCTGCCTCCAGCAATTCCGCCACCGTGCCAGCGCAGCATTTTGGGCGGCAGCGGTGCGAGAAGGCAAGGAGCCCTGCTGGGGGCCTCTTGGGGCAGACGGCTCGGATTCTTGGTTCGTGTTCCCACTCTTGGGCCCTTCTTGGGACCGTCTTGGGGCCTTCTTGGGGCAGTCTTGGGCGCCTCTTGGGGCCGTATTGGAGCCCTCTTGGCCCGTCTTGGGGCTCTATTGGGTGCCTCTCGAGACGTCTCGAGGGAGTCTTGGAGGCCTCTTGGCCGTCTTGGAGCGTCGGAGGCACGAACAGACGAGAACCCCAAAAACATTAAGACGACCTTAAGATAACACAATGGTTGTTGCCTCTCGGGGCCCCCTTGGGGGGCCTCTTGGGGGTCTCTTTTGGCTCGCTTGGCTTGGGGCCTCATAAGCCCTCTTGGGGCGGAAGTCTCGACTGGTCGGTTCGTGTTCATCCTCTTGGGGCCGTCGTGGGGGCCCTCTTGGGCCTTCTCGGGCGCCTGTTGAGCCGTCTTGGAGGCCTCTTGGGTCGTCTTGGGGGCCTCTTTGGGGCCTTGGGCCGTCTTGAGGCGGTCCTGGTGGCATCTTGGGTCGTCTTGGAGCGTGGGAAGCTCGAAAAGGCGAGAATCCGAAACGCATTGAAACAGCGAAAGGCAATCAATGATTTTGGCCTCTTCCAGCCTTGCTGGCGGCTCCTTTGGGGCCCTCTTTCCGTCTTAGATGTCTCTTGGGCGGCCTGAGGCTATCTCGGGCCATCTTGGGGCCATCTTCGGCCGTCTTGGAGCTATTGTGGGCAGCTTGAAAGTGGTGGAGAGTGCCGAGGCGGTGTGAGGCATCCACGGGAAGCCTCGGGAAGATGGGCGGTACACGCCGGTGGTCACTTCGAGAGGGGAGGGGGGCCCTAACAACATTACAGAAACCCTGCCATACAGCACTTGGCATCCTGCCACTCGTAAACGTGCCAGGGGGCACGGTGGAGGATCTAAGGTTCTCGATGAGGACAGGGTAGGCGTCCAGAAAGGGCCTCGCCTTCGAGGATCGAAGAAGTTGTCATATTATCCTCGGTGGAAGGCGGCGGGAGTGCGGCGGAAGGCGGCGGACGTAGAAGGAGGCCGTCTCTGCTGGCGGAAGCCAGTGGAAGGCTGGCGGAAGCCGGCGGAAATCAAAGTATGCTTCCCATTTTGATTTAGGGTTTCATGAAGCCGCCATGTGGCGTAAGGAGAGAGAGGCCGAGTTTCCGAGTTTGGAGAGTTTGGAAGGACATCGAGCACAGGGGGAACAATTGACGCCGGGCCGCCTCAGGCACATGTGCACGCTCGCCAATCGGCGCCAGCGACATACCGGTGCACCACCCAGCGCACGTGTTCTTCTCTCGTCCCGTGCGTGCGCCCGTGTTGAGTCAGCGCCTCGCGTAGTTTACGTGAAGGGTCTCCGCTCTCGCCAGGTCGGACCGCAGTCAGCACCGTGGTGCTACCGCCATGCCGTAAGCACCGCCTTTGGTATGTCCTATGGGAGCATGCACACCGTGCAACGAGGGTTGTTAAGATGCTAGCGCAGATGTCTCGAACGCTTCTGTAACCACCAGGGGCACCGCGGGTCAAGCCAGCGCGGGGGAGATGACGAGTCTAGTGACCGGTTTTTCGAATGTTCTGGCTTGCAGAGGTGTCCTGCTTCCACCCCATGCCTCGAGGGAATGGCGTCTCGCATCTGGAACCGGTTCGGCATTCACGCGGTTCCCATCGCACGCAAGTCTGGTACAGAAGCTACCTCAGCAGCCAATTGCGATTCATTGCTTGTCTGAAGCGAGGCAGGTTGAAGAGCCTTTTTGTGGTTCGGTTTCGCACCATGGAGGCGTGAGGTCTTCACGACGGCGCTTTGGAGCAGCATTGTGCTCCCAGATGGGCCATAGACATACTATACATACGTAGCAGAAGGCATATCGGCTGGGCCTTTGGCGCGCGGATATCCTCAAAGATGCTCCATGCGTCGGCCACGATGCCTACGCTACGTGGGGCAAGGGCTGCGACACCAGGTCCGCGGCCGCGTGTGAAGACAAGGTTGTCCTGTTTCCCAGAGTTTTACTGGCAGCCGTACTCCAACAGCGCATCGTCCAACCACCCATTCGATCTCGCCGTTAGCCCTGCCAGTTCGGTCGTTGTGACTCGTTTCTCTTCCAGCGTCTTCGTGAAGTCGTTGGCTTACTTGGCAAGGGAGACGCCCTGGAATGAGCCGCTGATCAGAAGAGCAGCTGGCCAAGGCGAACTCGGTCCTCCTCCTTGCGCTGCCATTCGCGCACAGCGGCCGCAAACGTGTAGACGAAGGCACGCACCGAGAAGCCGTCCCCCAAGACAGCCCCACATTGAAGCCTCATGACGACCTCCCCGTCGCAGCCGGCCAGCGTGATGGTGGCCAACCTGTAGCGCTGGCGCCCGGAATGCACCGCGTCGTCAAGCAGCATGTGGGGTATCGTGCAACCCATCGGCTCCAGCGAGCTGGAAGCGAATTCATTCGTGAGGTCCGTCGCGTGCGCCCTGTCGATCTTGGCGAGATGCTGGCCGGCCACGGTCTGGATTCTGGATCAAGGCCGACTCCTCGCGCCCACGCATTGGGACGAAGCCCTGGTCGCAGTCGTCGATCTCCGCGACTCCCTTCTGGCGAATTGGCACCCGCGTGCCACTCGTCGAGTAGATGGGTCCACCTCGTCTTGACGTCCTTTCGCGGCCGCAGCGCTGCACTGCTGCGGAGCCACCGCAGGGAGGTCGTCCCCCACATCCTCCCCGCTGCAAGCCAACACCGCAGGGCCTGCGTGAAGATCGGGGCCTTGATCGATCGGCTCCTGCACGCTCCCAGACCAGCTCCTCGGTGACGCGCCTGCCGAGATGGGAACAACTCCGTCCGGACGATCTCAGCAGGCGGACCCATGATTCGGAAGCCTTGGCGAGCGCCAACTAGATCCCGCCGCGCCTGCGTCCACTGCCCAGGCGCCGGTGACTGGTAGGACGGGAGGTGGGCCAGTTGGTCTGATTTCTAGGCCTCCCAGTCCTCGATGCGGTATGCCGCCATGCCGGCCTTCCCTCTCCTTCCCCTCCGGACTGCGGCCTGCCCCGCAGGGCCAGTTCCTGCGGGACAGCGCCCCCACTCCGGCAGCGATGGCCTCTATAGGCCTTCCGGGGCGTCGGCACATGGCGCGGGCTGGCCGCCCCCTCGGCGGACTGCAATTGTTTGTTTTCGTCGGCGGCGAGGCAGAGGCGGTCCGCTCCAGCGCGTGGCCATTCGGGGCAACCGAAGAACTGATTGGCCGGCATGCCAGAGGGAAAAGGCTGAGGGCGGACCGCGGACTTCGAACCCACGTCACCGAGCGCGTTCCACTACTCGTAAAGCACCTACTCGCAAACGTTCGAAAAGCACATGGTCGCCTCCACGTAAAACATCGTAGATCCCCCGCGGCGGATCCAGGCGATTTGCGAGTTGTAACTTTGCGAGTAGTGGAGCGCGCTCGTCTACTACGCATAGCTCAGCGGATAGCTCGGCCCCAGTCGTCTCGCAGACCGTCTCGAACTGCTCGGCCGACTCCACGGCCCCACGGGACCGCAGCACGGTCCTGGCCCTTCTGGCCGACGCCGGGTGAGGGCCGCGTGCCCGGCCACCGGGTGCGCTTTGCGCGGTGCTCGCAGCATTCCTCGTGGCACGACGGACGGTGGCGATGATATCGGGCTCGGCGTCTCAGGGGAATCGAACAAGAAAGAACGCCTAAGACATAAACTTTCCACGCTCCGCGCGGATTTCTTGGATCCGCGCTGGGCCGCCCCGGCGGCGCCTCTGGCGCCGCCCCTGGCGCGCTCCGCGCGCCAGGGAGCGGGGTCCAGCGCAGATCCAAGAAATCCGCGCGGAGCCCCAAACATTCATGTTGATGCCGTTTTTTTTTTCTTCCAGTGGAGACAACGGCAGCTGGCTTTCGGGGGGCCGCCTCGTCGCCAGGGCTGGGCGCAGCTCGGAAAGCTGGTGCGTTTGGGGGCCCCGTGAGGGGTCCGCGGGCCGGTCTCGAGTTGCCGTGTTCTCAGCTCGCCCTGCTCCGATTGGCGCTGAGGCTAGGCTCGGCGTCGGCGCTTCTGCTCGGAGATCTCCTTGAGCCCGGCAGTGTCGACTCCCCCCCCCCCCAAAAAAAACGACACCACCCCACCTACGGCCCTGCGTGTTGCGCTGCGGCCCCTCGGGCGCCGTAGCGCACACCACGCAACAGCCCGCGCCAGATGTCCTGGTGTACGCTGAGCCCCCTGGGGCCGTGGGTGGTGTGGTGTCGTTTGTTTTCTGGTCCACGGTGACCTCCTCGAGCCCGGCGTCCCGGAGTGTCCGCGCGAGGCCGAGGCGGAGAACATGGCGGCGTGCAAGGAGGGGCTCACGGTCGGCAGCCCTTGGGCCGCCCCGCTCGCTGGCGCTGGCCTCGTGGCATTAGCCGTTCGATGTCCGCAGCGCGTCCAGGTAGACGACGCAGGTGTCTTGGGCTCGGGTGCAGCAGAATGAGAAGGCGAAAACCCACCCCCACCCCCAGTCCCTACCTCATTTCCGAACCCGCGATCCAGGGGGTCGGGACTTGGGGGTGGGGGCGGTTTTCCGGGGCCTAGGAATGGAGAAAATCCACCCCCACCCCCAGTCCAGACACCTTGAATCGCAGGCTCGGGAATGGGCGTCGGGACTGGGGGTGGGGGTGCGATTTCGCCTTCGCAGAAGAAAATTGGTAACGTTATCGACGTCTTACTCTGGAGCCTGTACGACCGCTCGCACGGAAGTCCGGCGATGAGGGTTTTGATGAAGGTTCCCCATGAGGACATTGAGGTCCTACTTGACCCGCGGCGCGCTGCGGAGACACAGCGTTGGCCTGGAGCGAGGACGTACGGTAAGGCTTCGTGCGAGACGAGGTGGTCCGTCACCCGGCGACGCTTCACCAGCTGAAGTCCCCAGCTCATCTGTTTCGATGCACCTTCAAATTAGCTTCTAACTGGACAGTGATCGACACAATAACGGTGAGGATCCAGATTTGCGCGGATCCCCGTCTCGAGGCTGGTTTCGGGTGTCTGGCTGTGGAAGACTCTGAAAACATCGAGCGAGCAATTGTTGATACAATTCATCGAGGCCTGTCGAGGTCAGAACCTCGGTGAGCAGGAAGGGGCGCCGATCATGTCAACGAAGCTGCTGTCGCCAGTCTGGCCATAGAGGGTATCATGATGGTCGTGCTGCGCGCACTCTCGTCGCGAACCGCTCGGGCACGACGCCGAGGCCATCGCAGGCCCGAGCCACCGTCTAACTGGCGGAAGCCAACCCCGTTGTTGAGGTCGAACACGGCCACGGGCGTGGTGCTCTGGGGGATCACCGCCAATTGCTCGCCCATGCAGCAGGTCAGCAGTAGCGCCAAGGTGGTATCGTACTGGCCCTGCTGTCTGTGCGAGGGAGGCCAGCGTGGGAAGTACGCGTCGGTCGTTGAAAGTAGGTATCTCTGGACCTCCAATGCCAATCTACTTTAGGCGCCTTCCTACTTCAAGAGATTAGTGGCTTTCCCTCTTCCCTCCGCCTCAGGGGGCGGGCGGAAAACCAATCTACTTCGAACGCCTTCCTACGTCTACCTGCTCCTTCAGACCGACGGCTATGCCACGATGGTGGCGATGGCCAGAAGGAGGGCTGTGCTCGGCGGAGCAGACCTCCGCCTTGCACTGGCGCAGGTGCCGCAGCGGCACAGGCTGAGCAGCCAGCAGCCAGGGGACACCGCTAAGATGGCACGTGGAACCAGAAGCTAGGTGGGTGTGCGGACCTGCCTGGCCATGAGAGGGGGCGCGGGTTGGAATGAGGAGGAGGAGGTGGAGGTGGAGGAGACGGATGGGGGGAAGAAGGCGACGGCGAAGACGACGACTCAACCGTAAAGGCTCACTTTTCGCTCAGGGAGCTTCTTGGAGACCTCTTGGAGCCATCTTGGAGGCCTATTGCGGCCATTTGGGCGGCCTGTGATTGACGCCCTCGTTGGGCTCTCTTGGGGCCCTTTTGGGGGCTCAACTCGCAGGCCATCGAGCAAACAGCAGGAAATTCGCCCCTACGAGCGCAGCCGACTGCGAGAATTTCAACCGCACGCGCGTGGTGTCTCCGCTCTCTTACCCCTGGGACCCGCAGGACGACGGCGGCAACGGCGACGACGGCCACGACGACGGCGGCGACAGCGGCAGCGACGAGGCTGGCTGACAGCGGCGGTGACTACGGCGACGATGGACGGCGGCCTCCCCGTCGAAGTCGTCGTCGTCGTCGGCGACGACGTCGTCGACGGCGCCATCGAAGTCGCCGTCGCCGTCGCCACTGCCCGGCTCACTGCTGTTCACAGCCAGAACGCTGAAATATTAGGAGGAAAAGAAACACACAGACACAATTAATCGTCGATTCCCCGGACAATATGGGAAAATATGGGAAGCGGGGGGGGGGGAGACAGAAACCCAGAAAATATGAGAAAATATGGGGAATAGTTTTATATGTGTGTATTTCTCTGTGTGTCCTTGGGCCCCTTCAAAATAATGGAC